AAACTGTTTTATCAAGTTAAAAACAGAATAACTAACATGCAAAATTGATTCTTCATGGGACGTTCAACAAATACAAATTTACTCGAATTCGTCAACTATTCATTGATTACACAATGGTAATGGAAACCATGTAAATGGCAAATGGCAAAAACTGGGAATTGGGCCAGGATTTCTCAAATGGCTCGAATCTTATCTAACTATTCGTTAACAAATAGTTAGATTCAAAGGGAATAAATCAAATCCTCTTCAAGGCACCACAAGAGTACCCCAAGGGTCTCGTTTAGGCCCTCTGCTGTTTATATTATTGGTCAACGACATTGCCATCAATCATAAAAACATGCCGGCGACATTAAGCTCTTTTTAGAAATAAGAAACAAAGAAGACATCGAGATATTCCAGAAGTAAATACACATTTTCTATGTTTGGTGTAACAAAGGCCTTCTACAACGGAACGTACAAAAATGTAATTCAATAGCTTTTAGTAGGAAATGAAACACACCAAAAATAACAACAATCGCTCTAAGAATTCAGCCAGTAGTAAAATATGAAATAATTAGCGATTTAGCTAAGAGTTACATATCTTAGATTCAAAGCTAACATTCATTGAACATTATAATACAATCATCAACAGATCAAATAACATGCTCAAATTTATAAAACATTTTAGTTACAGTTTTCAGGAGCCGCATACAATAAAAACATTATGCATTGCTCATGTAAGGTCAATACTGGAATATGTTAGCGTAGTTCCGATACAAATTTTTATTGTTTGCACTTTTAAAATTATGTTGGACAAGATATCCTCTTCCATCATATCAAGCTTGCTGCATGCTCATTAGCGCTGCGAATTAGCAATGGTCTCATTAGCGCCGCGAATTAGCAATGGTCTCATTTGTGAACGATATCGTTTATTACAAGCCACTATTGTACAAATTATGACAAATTTGGACCTTTGAATCAAATGATGGCAACGTACAATAATCATAGCGAAACTATTGACTTTACAAAGACAAAAGCCAAATTGAAGCAATACTTCAATTCTATTCTTTAATTATGAACACGCAAAAGTAATACAATGTAAACAAAATACTTTTTAGTCTAGTATGTTTTTATATAATATTGTTAAGAAGTAAGGAATGAAATGTAATTATCATTTTATCAAAATGGTCTACTCTTGATTGACAAATAAACAAACAAACAAACGAGCTAGTTGCTGACCGTGTTTTATGAAAATTGTCGTCGTTTTCGTCGGTGTCGGGTTTAAATGGATAAAACATATCGATCATAAGTGGTGTGATGTGAAATGAGGGGTTTGGTGGCCTTTGAGCGACCGTTTTTGCACAGACAAACAGACGTAACTCTTCATTGTGTATCTTCGTTCACGCATTTAACGGTTGATTTGAATATTATCAGTTTCGCGAACTACTCGCCGCAGCGCTATCATCGGATCACTTTGACGTTTCTATACATGCTATAGAACTTTCATGCGATATTGTTTGCGAGTTAAGGAGCAAGCTTGTTTTCCGCGAGAAGCCTGAGAGATGTCGTTACTGAGGTCCTATGTTTTGAGATACTATGTTTTCAAGAAAAACTTTTTCAAAGAGTTACGTCTGTTTGTCTGTGGTTTTTGCTTAATTAGCAGATCATTATAAGTTTAATATCATGCCTCTCCACATTTAAGGTTCGTCAGTCACTTTTTATTTTTTCTTATCTCAAATCCATCACTGTAATTCAAAGTACCGTTTTCCAAACCGTTTCTTGCTGCATACCCTAATAAAAATTGTATGGTTAATTTGCTTAACGACGTGTTCTGGGTATCATCCAAACCATTTGTGGAATAGTTCAATGATTAGGGTTATCGTTCGTTTATGGTTATTTTTTATTAGGGTACTTACCCAAAATCCCAGTGATTTCTCGACACAATTTTTGATTTCCAGTTTTTAAACATTGAGGATTATTGCTAGTCCCAAGGATCATCTGTTGGTTCTCTGTGTAATTACAGCTGATCAGGCAATAACGGAGTAGCATCCGTGGACGGTCAATCATCAAATCGGTAAGGCTTCGTGTAAAAGTTACGTAACGCATGGAGAGAGAAGAGGGTCGAGCTAGCGTTACTTATTGCTACATAGGAAGGAGGGTTGGGGAAATGGAAATGTTACGTAACAGATTGACCAATATGAAAAAAAAATATTACGAAAGCAACCCTTGCATCTAAAACATAACAATAACTTTTCAAGTTGTTCATTGAAATTGTTCATTCAATACTGAAAAAAGGAAAAGAAAGCTTCCTGATGACATATCTTAAACCGAATACTTCTAAAAACACCTTCAAGAGAAACGCAATCATCCTCTGAAACAAAAATATCCCTTAACTTTTGTGTCTTTCTTATTCTAGCCAGCAAATCTGGTACAAATGTTTTAACTTATCATATCAAAAAGAAACTTTGCCTGTAACTCTTTGAAATTATTACACATTTTTGTGATTTTTTTGGGGGAAAGTCTGGTTTTAAAATACTTTCCAAACATGTTTTATTTCGAACGCGCTTCGAAAACCTCAACACAAACTTTTGCCCTAGCTTACTCAAACCTATACGGACAGTAAAGTGGGGCAAAACCAATGTGGTCTACATACTTTAAATATATTCGCGAGGTCGGTAGAAAATAATACTGAGCTGACACGGCAATTCATAATTTTACTGCTATTTCGGCAACCAAAATATTGTTTTCTGAGATTGACCAAAAACATTGCCCGAAATATCAGCAATTCATCAAATTGTACTGAGATTCGGCAAAGTATTTCGCTGAGCACACCGGTAAATAAAAATAATACCGAAATCAGCAATCGCGTTTACTGAGATAAGTAAATTGTTGTCTGCGTCTTTTGCTCCAACATCAGCTTTAAATCGCGGAAAAATTGTATGATCCGATCGATTAATGAAAGATCAAGATTGTTCTGTTTTGTTTGTGTGAAAATAATTCCTGTTTGGTTTAAACTTTCAGTCCGACAAGAGTATGCCAACGTCAGCAATTCCCTGAATAAATAATTGATGGGGAGGAGTTCGAGGAAGGGGAGTTTCACGTTATTTGGGATAACGTGGTCGTCGGAACAGGACCGGATGCACTGCAGGCGTTCGTGCTTCTCTGTAAGGCGTTCATGATTTACAGAGTAGCATGTTCGCCGCCCGACAATTATTTTTTTGTCTTTTCTATGCAGCTTGTTTTCAAATTTACCAAATGAGCACTACCGGAAACAAATTTATCAATTTCCTGTGATGTATTTTTATGGATATTAATAAATATACAGCAGGATTATCCCATTGCAGTGCTTCTTATTTTGTAACTATTTTTCACATGACAATCTTTTCTTCTTCTTTTTCTTTAACGCATGAAAACATAATTTTTAAAAAAATGCCGAGACTCAGTATTTTTTACCGTAGGGATGCTTTTTCCGAACAATCAATTTTTTTTTTACTGGGATTTTCGGTAAAAATTGACAACCTTGAATTTCATGATTACCGAGATCCTCGGCAAATTTGCACTCGGTTGTTCCCACCTCGGCGATTGTCCGGTAAATATTAGCTGCCGCTTTGTTTTTTTATAATAACTTCTTACTTAAAAACGGGCTAAATCTCTCCGGCAGGCAGCTTTTTCATGATATACAGTGTGATAATACAATAGCCAATAAATCATCTCAACATTCAGAGGAAAAACATTCATACATTTTGGCTTCATACATAAATTTTATAATCTTTATAACATTTCCTATGCAAACGCTGGTGAGAAAAAAGTAAGAGGTTGTATCCAAGACACGACCGTAGATTTGACGTAGGATTATGTACTTGGTATCAATATTCGGCGACTGTGCTAGGGAAACCACTTATTGCAGGCAATCGGAGATAATTTTGATCGCCATTCCAACAGTTGGACATTTAAGTAATTTTCAATAGTGACCTATTAAAAATTGATAACGTGTTTATTTTAGAAAATTTGTAGAAAAGTTTCTAATCGATTGGCTTGTTTAGAATTAAAATCCATCCACTATTGACAGAGATATAAGTGGTCAAAACCTGACCACTTTTCGTAACGCGGTCGATTTTGTTTTTTTTTAAACTGCGCCCCCAATATGTTGCCGAAAGACGTATTTCTACGTCAAAAATTGTTTGACGTCACTACAAGCGCGTTTGAGCGTTCGAAGGAGTAATCATGTGAAAGCGACTGAAAGCCGAGTGAAAAATGAACTGCACCAATACATACGGGCCTTCAATTCCACACCTTGTATATACCAGGTTGGGGCAAAAGTCCGGTATTAGTTGAAAAAATGCAAATATTTGAATATTCTAAGTAGTTTGAATCAAAATAATTGCATGCACAGGATGCCTAATTCAAGGCCTATAAATATGTTTCTCGTACAGATCCTTGATATGTGTACAGTTAATTCGTAGTTTGATCACTTTTCCTAAAACGTGCTCAAAATGAGAAGAAGATCTTATACAGCTGCGGTTGAACTCAACGATGGCCGGTGATGGAAATTCTTCCGAAAATCCACAATATGCAAAACTTCCGTTTATGCGGAACACTAGAACACACTATAGCCTAATTGTCAGATTTTCCGTAACATAAATATCAGGTCCGGATGCATTGTGCACTAGTCTTAAAATTAATTGTTGTAATTGTATTATATGCAGTATGATTATGTTTTGCACGGCTTGTCCATTGCACAACTGGTTTAGATAAGAAATCTCTCGACTCAAAATTAACGAAGCGCGCAAAATCCACTAAGTGAAGAATGAATTACAAGTTCCAGTAGGAACTTCACAGCTATTTTAACTAAAAATCATGCCGAAAAATCCTAAGGCACTACCATTGTAGTTGCTTTAAGCATGTATTAATTCCAAATGTCGCAAGAAATGTATTTTTTTATGCGAATAAAGATCCAAGCCTGAAAGAGCCCATCATAATTATGACCTTTTTGTCTGTCTCCCCATCTTTTTATCTCACAGAAGAAACGTCTGAAACCCGTTCTACAACAGCGGCCCCAGTGGCGACGGCGACGCCGGCGACATCAACGATGGAACGACACAGCCGGACTGACGCCAGCGGTCGGTCGGCGGCACTGGAGCGAGCCTATGTGCACGACGTTTACGAACACTGTGAGGATTTGGTTGGCCAGGTTCGACCCAAGGTGGCACAATTCCTAGCAGGACTAGAACCCGGCTCCGTGGTATGCGATGTTGGCTGCGGAAGCGGCCGATACCTGTCTGGGTTCAATCCGATGATATGCACGATCGGTGCTGACCGATGTTATCGGCTGACTAAAGTCGCACACGGGAAAGGAGGAGAGGTAAATAGAATCTGTCACTACTTGTGTGTTGGAGAAGCTGGCTCTACCTATTGTTGAAACATGTTAGCCAATACGGTAGATGTACCAGTTATCGCTATACGTTCCTATTATGATGTGCTCCAATCATCCAATTATACCATATGGGGTTTACATAAGCCGTAATTGGAATACACCATATAGCTATAACTGGTTCATCTACCGTAATTAATTCCATTTATTTTCCTTGCCCCCACCATATTTACCTAGTTATCATTTTGTAAGTTGGGAATGATATCTTTAAATTGTTTGAAGCCAATGTGCATTGTGTCACAGTTTTCTCTCACTGAAAGTTTTGCTCTAAATTTATTTATTTTTTCAGTACATTTAATAATTATTAAATAATTTTTAATAATTTACAAATTTTGTATAATTTCTGCGGAACACTTCGGGTAGATCGATCATACAAGTTTGAGTATTCGATTCACAGCATCGCATGGTAGGAACATTCTATATGGGTGAAATAAACTTAGTTTTGCGTTCATCTTCATTACTGTCTTACTTTCTCGACACTGAACAGTAGGATAGCTGATTGATCCACAAGCTTTCCGGATAAAACATATACCATAAGTAATTTATGGTATACAGTTCAATATATTATAAACTCTATTGTTCGACATTAGGATCTCAAATCATCTTATGGTAAATTTATGTTATCTTAAGAGACAACAAAACCATATATTTACAATACATCCTATAGATTGCAATATTCTTCCATACAAAAACAATAAATTAAATAATGTTTGCCATAAAATTGATCGCAAAAATTGTACACATACCTAATCATACATAAAATGTATTGCATAACTCTTGTTCATAAAGTTTTATGGTACAAAACAATATATGTTATTCTATTTTTATTTGAATCAATTGATTCCATGGTGTGAACAATTGGTTGCATTGTGTCAATAAGTTGTCATTTATTTCTATGATATATGTTATCAGGGTTATGTTTTAATTGTAGTTTGATTTTTATTATTATTGATGAGTTTACATAATTGTTACCCAAAAAATATTTCTGGACAAGCAGGCGTTTATAAAAAATCCACTCATTACAGGAAAAATTGAAATGTACTTGGCCGCTCAAACTTAAACAGAGACCCTGAGTTCGCTAAAAAATATAACGTCTTAGATCGGTTATCCTAAAAATTAAATTTATTGCTGAAAACTGTAAACGAAATGACCAAATTTCAAAGCGAGAAACGTCAAATCCGCCATATTAATCATCCGCAGTAAGTGGAAACTGTGTTATGAAAAATAAAAATTGAAATGATGGAGGCAAAGATGTACAAACTGAAACACCAAAAGAAAATCATACTTTTTTCGAGAAATTGTATAATGACTTCATAAAGCGGTTCAAAATACCACCGTTACCTTAGGAGGAAACTGGATTGAATTTTTAGATAAATAAATACACACCCAAAAAAAATCATAGTTTTATAACAAAAAAAAATAAAAACTTTTGAAGTTGATCATCGTACACTTATTTATAGCTCAATTTAAATAACATTAATTTTTGTTTTTTTGAAGTTCCAACCAGAATACAATTCGTGTGATTATTTTGCTTAACGGCGTGTTCATGCAAACCATTTGTGAAATAGTTCCATACTTTGGGTTATCGTTCGGGTATGTTATTTTTTATTAGGGAAAGCAAAAGACATATATAATATATAATATAGATTATGTGCATAATTCTTTGCGACTTAGTATGCTTGCTTATGCTCTTCAGATAAGTCGCAAAGTATCGTTACTGAGTTACGTTACGATACGACAAAGAAAACTTTGGTCGAAAAGTTACGTCTGTTTGTCTGCACTATAAACCTGCTGTTATTTTAGACTAATTTTTTGGTCAAATGGAGCACTTTCAAATGCATTTCATGCACATTATGAAATTGATTGAAACTTGGCTCAATGCCCGAATAAGCAAACCAACCCAGAATCCCTGTTGACCGCATCTGAATCTGAAACAGTAACATAACAAAAACCAAAACATAGAATCAAAATTATTTTACGGATTATAAGGATTTTGTCTGAACATTGAACAACATTAAATTCGTAATACTGGCTTTTAAAATAACCATTAAAACAACGAGATATTGAATTTCAACCAAGTCAGTGCATAATAAAAAGTTGCCCTAAAAACTGGTTAAGAACAGCATCACATTGCACTTCCGGAATAGGAAATCCCCCCTCAGCTATAAGACGAACACCGAAACAAATAACAGTCGTTTCGAAGAAGTTCATAAACAATCAGACATCCAGAGGTGGAAATCTAGAGTTGGTACGAGCAATATTGGAATGACAGCCAAACGAACAGCCGTTCACGGAAGCGAATTCCGTAGTAGAATGAAAACTTTCATGAATAATGCAAAAATATCTGCGCACTGCAGTAAAAAACGAAGATAAATGAGGAAGAAAATCATAACATGCCTTCCTTTTTACCTCCACGCCGTCGGTTTTGGTTGACGTTTTCTCGTTTTTTTTTTCGGTCATACTTTTACCTGATGCCACTTACCTACACCCTTGCTCGGACTCAGTCTCTATGGGAAGGCAACTTTTTGTTTCACCATGTGTGGATGTCAAGCAACAAGCAAGAATGCCATGTGAAAAGAGCGATTTATGATTTTCGTGGTGAAATGAAATAAATCCAAACAAATTGGAACAGATTGATGGAAGTTTTTCTTATATAATCAAACAGAAATAAAAACACATTGGTTAATTCTATTATATTTTGCTCTTGAATATTATCAGTCTTGAGAATAATGTTTCTGAGCATACTTGTGCGGTGAAGACTTGCAATAAAAAGCCGTATCATTAAAAACAGTTTACTTCCCCATCTTTCTATTGAGGGGTGAAAAAAAAAATACAAAATTGATTCTTATTCGCGGTGAGTAGCAGGTTTGCTGTGTGAACACTAACATTTCGTATATTCATTCAAACATGAAGAAATAAATAAAATAAATTAAAATAAGCGTCTCTCAACAAAAGATATTCACAATGAGCTTCTAAAACAAATAAATTTCAGTGATTGTCTTTTGTTACACCCGTCCGTTTAATTAACATTGTTCCCCACCAACTTGAAGTTTCAAGAAACAGATGAGGCTATCTGTTTTTATGTTCAGTATTTTATTTACTTTATTTACATATCTGCATTCGCCCTATTCAGATAACACTTCTGAAATTTGTGAGTTTGACCGAACCACCAGCACCAAATTTTCGGAGTACACTGGAAATGTACTGGACTTGTCAAGTTGCCCCCGGGTTGCTAGCGACTTACAGGAAACCCTTCGAATGCGCGCAATTTCTCGGCCGTCTTCCAACCAATTGTATTTTTGCAAGAGACAAGTTTATGGTTGACCCTAAAATAAAAAATTAGTGCGACTGGATGGAGGACAACCGATCAATTGTGGTGGGTGAACGACACCTCCTAGCGCACTATTCGGGGGATACCTGTATACAGAACAGCATTGCATTGGTAAGCGCGGTTGGAAAACAACAGGCGAAAAACGGGGAAATCCTACAAGTTTAGCAAGGATGGTGTTGTAAAAGGTACACAAAACAAGCAGCTGCTGGCTTGGCTTTGGATTGAAATGCTCTCTTCTCCTTGTTTGAGAGCCATTCTAAGAAGCGGAAAACATTTTCCATCCCACTTATCCTTGCCCACCCAGAAGCTCAAACGCTTAAAATGACACTGATACCCACATTTTGTACCATCATCTTCAACGAGCTTTGCCTCTCCCTGTTGGTCATGTGCCATCAAATTTCATTCAACAGAAATTGAAGTATTTTATTGCTCAACAGGTTGCGATATGTGATAATCTGGAACTGCCCTTTCGTGACGAATCGTTCGATGCAGTCCTGTCGTTGGCTGTGGTGCATCATTTCGCGACGACCGAACGTCGTGTCGGGGCCATTCGAGAGCTGGCTCGAATTCTACGGATTGGAGGGCGTGTAATCATCACCGTGTGGGCCTTGGAGCAACGGCATCGACGATTCGAATCGCAGGACGTGTTGGTTCCCTGGCAGCCACCACGATCGAAGAATGCCACCGTTTCGGACGAGGAGGATGACGATGACTTCCTACCACCTTACCACGCGTATACGGAAGATTCCACCAATTCGAGCCGCTCGGCGGGCGACGGTGACAGCTCCAGCTTGTCCTCGTCGTCACCGGGCGAAACGTGCTACAGTTTCGTGAGGCGAGCCATACAGGTGAGTGGCGATGTGGTTGGGAAAACGGTATACAACTAGAGGTAATGAATTTCTCTTGCTTACGTGAGCCAAATAAAAGAAAACAGAAGCTAGTAAAAATTGAATGAAATTCGTGTCTGCACAAATATAAGGCTGCGCGAGTATTTAATTCAAACCGTAAGATAGTAGTTTGCGCAATGGATTTAATTCTGTGTAGTAAGAAAGAAAACTGTGCTCGGCTCCTCTAACTCAAAAACACGGGCAGGACAGTAAATCTACGTATCAAGAAAAAGATTAAATGTTCCCTAAAAAAGATTAAATGCTCTCTACAACATATGAAATTCATAATATGAAAGATGAAGTTTATAAAACGTTTCATCTATTTTATTGGCACATTTCATATATTTTATGGTAGTTATACATCACACTTTACACTTTACATTAACATCCTTACATTATTAGTAATTAGATATAAAAATATATACTTGTTTAATTTAACCTTGAAATTTCAGTGTTACATCCACTTGATATTGTGAGCTGAGGAAACATAGAGCAGCATCTTATTATATGTAAAGAATTATTATTTTCATTGCAGAATATCAAAAATTTATATTCATTTTTTCATATTTAATGTTTTTATATATTTCATTTCTCCACTACATATATTTTCATTATATAAATAAATATTGGGTTGGGAGGGAGCATCAGGGTATCATTTGACCTGGGACTGGACGATGGAGTGGTATGACAACCGGAGTCTAGGAGGGAATAAACACTATCATTTTCTTTATTCTACCGATTCGATTGTGGTGGTGTGAATTCTACTTCAACAGTTTCAGTGAGATTGACGCGCCCTTCTTTACAAACCATCCTGTAGGAAGCTTAATAAGTATTGCGAATTGTGTTATTCGATTTGTTGGATCGTATCGTTGGAAAGAGATGCTTAAATTCCGGTGGATTTCGTGTAAGTGTCTCTGCTTACGGGTCCACACCTCCGTTTTTGGCCCTTCATACAGCGATATTGTGAATTCAGATCGGTAGTTCAAATTGATCTTGCTATTAAGTGGAATTGAATACAAGACAAGATTTTTGAAGGGATGGTGGCTACCTTACATACATTACATACATACATTTCATATTTTTTTATGGAACGCTTCAGAGTTTTATAGGGAACATTTTAAACCTTTTTTAGGGAACATTTTAAACCTTTTTTAGGGAACATTTTATCTTTCTTATTGATCACTTATCTTGATTTAAGGAGAACATTTTTGCTGGTGCAAATTTACTTATTTATCGTGCCTCGAGATTTTTTTTATTTAGCATTTCAAGAGATGAACTAAAAATCTCTATAATAAAGAAAAAAAAAATAGCATTTCAACTTAAGTATTGACACATCGCCTATTTTTTAGGCAGTAGATTTTGAAATTTTATTGAACTGGACATAAGAACATTTGGTCGAATTTAATTTCTCGGTGTATTTTGAAGATAATTGAACATATATCAAATCTTATATACATATAGCATGTAGCGAGCATGTAGTTGATTTTTAGCCTAGAATCCAATTGCCACTAGATTGGTTTCGTTCCTGAGATGAAGTGAGATCCAAGATGTCAAGAAATGACAGGACGCTAGACGTTGTTGGTTGGAGCAAAATTTAACCTCCAAGTAGATTAGTGTCTCTTTTAATGGTTGCTAGACCTTGTTGGGTCCAACTAAATTACCCCCTATGTGGATTGGTGTTTTTAAGGGTGGATGCTTGATCTAGTTGGGTCTAACAAAAATTAAACCTCTAGGTTTTAACTTCATTGTGTAGAAGCAGCAATAATAAAAAGTTAAAAGAAAAGGATAATTTTTAAGAATATTTTTAGTTCTCAGTTTATCAATTAGAATCCAGCAATATCTCAATCGCGTTGGCTTTACGGAGCCATTAAGTTAATTTTGTTAATTGTTTGTAACAAAATTAACTTAATTATATGTCTAGTAGGAGTTTGGCCGAATACTCGCGGCTTACTCGAGGTTAAAGGGGTACATTATCGAAGGATATGATCTGGGGAGGAGCTTGAGGTGGGGTTTCGTTGCCTCATCAGAGCGTTGCCGCCAGTATGAACGGTAGTGCGGTTCTATAAACGTCTGGAGTTTGACCGGCTATGGTGACCAGTGGGCGACGATGAGACTCATCGAGACGGGGTACAAGACAAACAAAAACTAATAAAGACACAAAAGACAAAAAAGACAAAGGAATTAGATTCTTATACTAAATAGACATTTGCAGAAGCACATAAATCTACTGCATATAGCAAAGGTCACCGCAAGGCCTGGGTTCAATCCCAGTCAGCGTCAGCCAACGCCTCTGATAACGCCTTCCTTCGGAAGGAAAAAAAAACCGTTGGTCCCCGGCCCATGAGTTGATGGGTCAATTGGTAGGGACCAGGTGTGGGAGCTCCCTGGTGTCGGAAGCACTGGTACTCAGTACAAAAAACAAAATCGACGGAAAACAAATCAAGGAAAAAATCAGACATCTCTGATAGGGATATAGGGTTGTCTTCCTTGGGCCTCAAGGGTATTAAAAAGTCGCTCTCTGGCTGCGTCATTATCCGTACATTGCCAAACTGCGTGATCAATGTCATTGTAACCGTTTCCACACCGACAGATGTTGCTGTCCACGAGGTTTATTCTATTGAGATGCGCATCTAGCGAATAGTGGTTGGACATAAGTCTACTCATCACGTGAATGACGTCACGACTTAAGTCCACGCTCTTGAAGAAACATTAGAAATAATTGAATGTAACCACCGTCCAAGATGTCCCAATCGGTTTGCTTTCTCGAAAGGGTAGGGTAGAGAACTACTTCGGCCTAATCGCCCATTTTGGGCCTATCGAGCAGAAAACTTCAAATAAATCCATGATTTCAGAGTTAAGTCAATTATGCGTTTGTTACGATACTTTAGTTAATAAGCTACGGAACGAAGTCAATGAGAACGCGTGATATGAAGGTTTGCACCCATAATTCCCAAAAACAAAAGAAGCGCTCCGACCGAATCAATTTTTATCTTCATCCGATAGGCCGAAGTGAATTCATTGGCGTTTCAATGGCATTTCAATGCGTTAGGCCGAGTTTAGAATCCGTAGGCCGAGTTTGGTGTCAATAAGCAGTGTTAGACTTTTGACAATATCTTAACTATTGGTTTCTCTTTATCAAATCTTACGGTACGTACCGAAAGATAAATAAATTTGGAAGCCATCAGTAATAATAACATTCCGTTTGGTACTAAACTGCGCTAGATTGAGAAAGACTAAGTGCGGGTTGTGCTTAATAGGCCGGAAATGAGGTAGTTAACCCTACTCTGACGCACTAAATGGTAAAAATCATCGTGTGAAAGTTGCCTGGCATCAAATTCGCCTTCCTGCGCGCTCACCTTTGCAAGAGAGTCCGCCTTCTTATTGGCTGTGATTGAGCAATGTGAGAGGACCCATACAAAGGTAATCATATATGATCTTTTTACCAGCACACTCATCATCTGCTCCCTTACCTTTAAAAGGAAATCAGATGAGTGCCTACCTGGTTTCATCGACCGAATAGCCTCAATCGAACTGAGACTATCCGAGAAGATGAAGTAATGGTAGAGTTTTTGATCTAATTTCCGTCCTACTAAGCACAACCCGAGTTTTACCTCTCTTTTCTGAACGAGTTTAAACAAAAAATTGAATATTTATGTCAAAGATGACTTCTAAATTTATTCACCTTTCCATACGTACCGTTGGATTTGATAAAGAGTCACAAATTGTTGAGATATTGTTTAAAATCTAACACTGCTTCTTGATTCTAAATTCGTTCTACGAGTTTCTATACCGTCCTAATGCATTGAAACGCCATTAGATTTTCTTCGTCCTACAGATAAACGTAGAAAAAGGGGATTCGCTAGGAGCGCTTCTTTTGTTTTGAGAACAATGAGCGTAAATATTCATACAATGCGCTCTAACAGGGTTTATTTTGTAGCTAATAAACTAACGCATCGGAACAAACCTATCATTGATTTCTGCACGGTGAAATCATTGATATTATTGATCTTTTCTTATTGATAGAACGGAAATGGGCGATTACGACGAAGTAGCGCTCTACCCTATGCGGGCATGTTGGCAATCATCCCAAATGCGAAGTTGATTGCTGCCAGCTCAGCAACAAAAACGAAACAAGGTTCCTGATGTTTGCCGAAGGCGCTAGAGTTTTTATTGAAGACACCGAAGCCAATGGATCCATTGAGACGGGACCCGTCTGTAAAATATCTTTTCACGCAATTGACTTGTTGGTACTAAATATATGATCTATATCTTACTGTTATCCACTCGATCGCAATGGTCGAATCATTATTTTTATTTCGCTATTAACTACGTGACAAATATTTTCACATGCAAGAAAACATGGCTGACTTTCTGCGACTCTGCTAAAAAAAACCTTCGGTTAAAATTTCCGTTGCAAAGTTGAACCGAAGTGGACCGTTTGACGTTTGAGAATGGTTAGCGAACTGTTCTGAATCTGGACCTGCTGCTTTTCAACCTATCACTTTGACCAAAGGTGTTCGAACGTATCGTGAACCGCAGATTGACGACTGAGTTGGAGTCGAATAGACGACTGGACAAGAGGCCGCACGCCTTTAGAGCTGGGAGAGGCGTCGATACATACTTGTCGGAGTTGGATAGGTCATTGCCAAATCGGGACAAACACTGCTTGATTGCATCGCTTGATCTGTCGAAAGCGTACGACACCACTTGGCGGTACGGTATCTTGCGCACTCTGCGTAAGTGGCAGATGGGTGGGCGCATGTTCAACGAACTGAACAGTTTCCTCACCGACAGATCTTTCCGGGTGAAATGCCATTGGAGAACGGAGTCCCCCAAGTGTCAGTGTTGCCTGTCACGTTATTCCTTTTAGCGATGCAGCCGATTTACAGAGTGGTGCCGCATAGTGTTGCCGTGCTTCTCTATGCGGACGATATTTTGCTGGTGGTATGGAGGAGTAAGGA